ATTCCCATGATGTATCCTTGGAAGGAAAAGATGTATAATAATAAGGTTATTACGAGGATACCTCAAAGTATGCACTCAGACAGTACACTGTTGCATCGACCTCCGCTGCGCATTGGTCTATACTCCTGCTGTACTGTCTTCGTGCACACTTTACAGTATCCTCGTAATAACCTCATATTATTATTCACTCATGACATTTTCTATTTCAGTGGATATTGCTGATCCCTTTGCTTACATCAATACTCCAGCTGTACTGTCTTCATGCAAACTTTACAGTATCCTCGTAATAACCTCATATTATTATTCACACATGACATGTTCTATTTCAGTGGATATTGCTGATCCCTTTGCTTACATCAATACTCCAGCTGTAATGTCTTTATGCAAACTTTACAGTATCCTCGTAATAACCTCATATTATTATTCACACATGACATTTTCTATTTCAGTGGATATTGCTGATCCCTTTGCTTACATCAATACACCACCAGCTGTACTGTCTTCGTGCAAACTTTACAGTATCCTCGTAATAACCTCATATTATTATTCACACATGACATGTTCTATTTCAGTGGATATTGCTGATCCCTTTGCTTACACCAATACTCCAGCTGTACTGTCTTCGTGCAAACTTTACGGTATCCTCATAATAACCTCATATTATTATTCACACATGACATGTTCTATTTCAGTGGATATTGCTGATCCCTTTGCTTACATTGCTGGACAACATTTCAATGAAGTCACTATCAGATACGGTGCTCCTATTATTATACTCAATTTAGTCAAGGTGAGGCATACGTTATCAAATCATTTTATAATTTACACTCGGATTATTAGCTTATCTAGCACTGAAATGAAATTTGCTCTTCCATATAAAGTCATATCAGTGCGCAGTCGACACTTTTCAGCACATTCAAACGCTCTCTTGTATGGCGTAAAGTACGTCATCAACACTGACGATTTTAACCTTAGTGATGTCACATTTGAACATTATACTTTGCTTATATTGGATGCAAATCAAAGTGCTAGCATGACCAGAATACTGTAAATGCATTAATTATTCACTGGGTTTTAATTTCGCTATTTTCGCTGATAAGTGAAATCTGCTAAATTAAATCTATGTGAATATTAAAAATAACAATAAAATTCATTGTTTCTTTGACAAAGTTGTGAAATCAAAATGCTCAAAACATCAAAATAGTGAAATTAAATGTCAGTTAAAATTAATGGTTTTACAGTAGAATCCTATTACTGAAAGTAAACATTTGCACAGTGCAAAATGTTTTTCATTGCCATTTCAGATTATAATATCTTATTATTAATTTATTACTCCAAGTGTGAAAAGATGTATAATAATAAGGTTATCATGGGAATATCACCAAATATCTACTCTGGCAGTACTGGGTTGCATCGACCTCTGTTATGCCATACATTTTAAAATATTTTTGTGATAACTGATTATCATGATAGTTGAAGTGCAAGGGTTGTCACACAGTGCGGGTTTGCAATTTGTATACATGAATGAACAAATAATTCATTTTTCACACGTTATTTATTGCTACTGTAGAATACTTTCGCTTGGAATTAATTTTTGCTATTTTCGCTGAAGGAATGATTCAGTGAATATAAAAACAAGCGAATATACTTGTTTTCCTATATTTTACATTCAACTCTCCAAAAATCAGTGAAAATAAATTCCATACAAAACACCCAAATAGTTTTTTCAGCGAAAATTAATTCCAGCTAAAATAAACTATCGTCTTTCAAAGCTGCCAAAATGTCACCATACCTTCCACATACACTATGTGACATCATGTTTTGATTTTCAATATTAAACTTCCTGTGATGTTTGTGTTTGAGGTTGACTTTGTTAGTTAGATGAAATTACATGTTTTGCCATTTCAGTTTTTGCTTTGATTAAATAATTCTTCTCTGAGATTCAACCTCTGCATACAAGGTAGTAATATGTCACTGTAAATTTCAAAGTATAAAAAAATGTTTTACAGATTTGATTGTAATATTTCGTTTATTAATCCAGAAAAAAGAAAAGCGCCGTCATGAATGTATACTGAGTGAAGAAATAGAGGCTGCGGTTGAATATTTAAATCAGTTTTTACCACCACAGTTTGCTATTCGCTATATAGCATGGGACATGGCAAGGTTCACTAAAAAGTAAGTCATGTTTTGTTATCAACATTGGGTTATCATGTGACACATGTGTTTTACACAACTTGTACAGTGTTAAAACTTCGTCTGCTGTTGCTGTTAGGTACTAGTTATTTTGGCTATCTGTGAGCACTTTCTACGGGTGTTGTGTTAAAGGGATTATTTTGCAGTAAACTTACATCGAGTAGAAATTAACTGCCAAGCTGGCTCTCAGCTGGCCTTGACTTTTCATAGAAATTAGTATTTTTTAAAGTGCGTATGATCGTCATCAATAATTTCAACTTATTCTTTGTAGTGTTTACCTATGACTAATATGAGACATGTTTATGCTGATTACTCTGTGTTATTTAGGTATATGGTGGTTTCATCAGCAAGCTTTAAAGCGGGGGAGTCAGCACCTGCACATGCGTCAGATGGCCAAGCGTCTACCCATGAGTCTTTGCGTTTTTAGCGTCTGTTGTTATCGTCGCTTGGGACTAAATTCCCACTCGTGCACAGGTGACAACCCTCTCGCTTTAAGCTAGCTAAAAAACTAGATGAATGACAGTAATGTTTGTCAGAGGATTATCCCTCGTTGTTCGTTTGCATAACAATGGAAAACCCGAACGTTCCTACAGTACGGACTCAAATGCCAGCAGTTTTCTTCATTTTTCGCGCTCGAGCTTGAAATTATTCATTATCTGACACTCTTTATGAGTTCTATGATATCAGTGGTTAATATGTTTGGCCATTTTTAGTGTATATTTATAATAATGCAGCAAATCTACAGTGTTTTATTAACCAAAACTGTTTTTCGCGTTTTTCTCGAGTTGAAGTTTTGATCGAGAACGACTCATTGGGACCGCCGCCAAATCAAGTGCGTTCGGACTAGGACATTCAAACTCGCAGTTATCGTTCAAAAGATAATGATGGTGCGAAATATGTCTGGGTTTTTAA